CGCCAGGAACCCCAGCGAGCCCATCACCTGGATGGAAAGGGCGAAGAATCGGGTCGGCTGCGCCATCACCGCCGGGCGGCCCCGTCGGAGCTCGCGGATACTAGGTCTGGGCGCGAAGACTGGCGAAATTGATGAACGACGATTGTCCTCATCATTACCGTTCTCCCCCCTTCTTCCCTCCTCCTCCTGCTTCCTGTCCTCCTCCTCCTCCTCCTCCTCCTCCTCCCTCCGCCGCCTCCTTCTCTCGTTTCCCTCCCTCTCCCCCCCTCCCCCATCCATTTCACTTTTCCGTCCTCCTCATTATCCTCCTCCTCCCTCCTCCTCCTCCTCCTCCTCCTCCTCCTCCTCGTTCTCCTCCTCCTCCTCCTCCTTCTCCTTCTCCTGCTCATCCTCCTCCTCCTTATCCTCCTCCTCCCCTTCCTTCTCTTCTGGTTCCTCCCCATCCCTCTTCTGAGGCTCCTTCTCCTCCTCATCCTCCTCGTCATTATCCTCAGCATCAGCATCAGCAGCATCATCATAATCATCACCAGCATCATCATCATAATCATCATCATCAGCAGCAGCATCATCATCGTCAGCATCATCATCATCGTCGTCGTGGTCATCGTTATCGTCATCATCATCGACGTCATCATCGTCATCATCGTCATCATCATCGTCATTGCCGTCATCATCATTGTCATCGTCGTCATCATTATCGTCATCGGCATCATCGTCGTCAGCGTCATCAGCATCATCATCAGCAGCATCAGCATCGTCGCCATCATCGTCATCACCAGCAGCATCAGCAGCAGCACCAGCGTCAGCCTCATCATTAGCAGCGTGATCGTAGTCCTCATCATCATCATCATCATCAGCATCAGCATCATCATCATCATCATCAGTATGGTAATCATCGATGTCGCCATCATCAGCATCATGATCACCGTCATCATCACCATTATCATCATCGTCATCATAAGCATCATCATGATTCAGCAGCAGCATCATCATAATTTCCGCAGAGCATCATCATCACCACCACCGCCATCATCATGATCACCACCATTATCATCATCATCCTCATCATCATCATCATCAGCAGCATCATCATCAACAGCAGCAGCATCACCATCATGGTCGTCGTTATTTTCGTCATCGCCATCATCGGCATCATCATCATCAACATCATCATCATCATCGTCCTCATCTCATCTGCGGCAGCGTCCGTGCATCTGGGCATGGAGACAGATGCGCGCCCAGCCCCAGCGGGCTGCCCAGCCCCTCGCCGTTGGGCAGACTTATTTGGCCGTGATGGTTCCTCTCCCTCTGGCTGCAGCCTT